TTTAACTCTAACTTATTTAACAGCTGAGATACAGACATGTTCAAAAGTGTCACAATAACGAGAAACGCCCTGTAACTCAGAAACAAATGAAGATAGCAAATTTCCGATCTGACAGTCGAGTTTGCCATGAAAATCGAGCTCGAGAACGTGGTGTCACATTTATCATATCTTTAGTAGTTTCTGAGATACCCTGAAATCCCATCGAAAATGGACCAGCCTGTACAATGTACACTTAATATTAGATATTAAAAAGTTATAGTCACTATTGTGTTTCTTTTTACATAGGAATCTGACGACTGCTCACTACAACTGTTCAACTTTTTTAAATTTAAATTTGCAGAATCTCTTTCTATTTTCCCACTGTAATACATATGAAATCTAATTTTTATATAAACTGTATTACATAGTTGAAAAGGGAATTTAAAAAAGAAAATCAGTGCCATAAAAATACACAGGGTGTTTAACAGAAATAACATTTTAGTGGCATTTCTCTGAAAATATTGAATTAAGAATAAACTAAATATGCTACAGCGTTCGATGGAAAAAAAGTATGGGACATCTGTATTATTTTATATAATATACATATATAGGGTGTTCATTAAGTATGTACAATAAATTCAACAGACGATTATTTGAGTGATTTTAATACAAAAAGTTCATATAAACATTGGTCCGCAGATGCTTCATTTTCAAGATCTTTTTTATAAAAAAAAATGCTATTTCGTAAACATCTTAAACACCGTTTATCCAATTTTGTTGTAATTTGGCAATGTTATTTGTTATTTGTAGTGTTAAGGAGCTAATTTAGCCCTAATTTGATTAGATTTGTTAAGTCCATCGACGTCCCGAACGGTACCTTCGGCTTAATTTTGGCCGAAGGTACTAAACTTTAAAAACTATAAATTTATCAAAATTGCAAATCCTAAGCCTACGATATTTTTTAATGTTTGAGAACTATATTGTAATATGTATTTCTATCCAAAATCTAATAACAGGACTAGTTTATTACTTGACTTGGTACACTTAATACACTATGATTTTTTGATTTTAGAGAAATTAAAAAACAAAAAATAAACAAACAAAAAATAAACAAACAAAAAATAAAATAAAATAGAACGAATTTAAAAGTGAATAAATCTCAATGGGAATTGGTATAGAATAATTTTGACGGAAGTAGAATGACATGTTTTCAAATTTAAAAAATTGCTATTTTTCAAAAATTATAGAAAAAATTGATTTTAAGGATTTGCAATTTTAACAAAATTATAGTGTCTAAAAAATATGTTTATTCCTGTGGTTTTTTTTATATTTGAACTTCATTTGCCTTTTATTTATTATTTATTATGTTAATAGCCTGTAGGTACACCTATAAATTGTGACATCCTCCAAATTTTATAAAATACTATTTATAATTATAAATTACAAATAATGTTTTTATTTACTATTATTAGGGACTTTAATTATTTAATAATTTAATTAATTAATAATCATTTATAGATAATTCAAATGTTTTTACATCTTTCTTACCATTGTATTGAGTTTTCAAGGAATCCCACATATGTACATTATTATCATCTGACCCACATAATAATATTCTACCACTAATAGATAAGCCACAAGATGTAAAACCACTATTAGGTGTGGGTGGTTTATATACAGCAATTTGTTGGTCACTTCGGATATCAAATAGTCGTGCTGATTTGTCTTCAGATCCTGTAGCAAATGCATAACCACTTGGATGAAACTAAAATTGTAACATATAAATTTTGTTTGAAGCACTTCAAATTCTTGCTGGAATGAAAACAGTGTTCTACCTATTGTTTTTTAATGATCCAAACCATAGGATCGTAGTTCTTTTTGTATGAGTCATGCAAAAATGGATCACATTTTAGCCAAAATTTATTTCAGCAAGAACATTTTTTTCATTAATAGAAAATAGTAAAATAGTAAAATTATATTGTACTTCAATCATTGAGTTTATAGGATACAGGATCGTGTTCAGCGCATCGAATTCCTTCGAAAATGATATGTGGCTCTCTTGGGTTTGGACTTTTTGGACGGTAGAATATTTTATTTTTTATATTATCCTCAAAAAAATAAGACAAGAGAATAAACGAGAATATTTTAATTTTTACCATGATTATAGGGGAAATCTAGGTACATTTTGGACAGCAAATGTGTTTTCGTAGTGGTATTTTTTGTAAGCTTTTCTACCTATTGATTGGACTACAAGCTTTATTAATGTCAGTGGGGTAAAAATTTTTATCAAGATTCCTGTTAAACAGTAGTTAGGGTTCCGGGTAACAAAAATTGTTACATTGACTTTTTTTTATTATAGAAAAGGTGTAGATTAATAAAACTTTAACTAAGATAGCGTAGAAGTGTTTAAAGAATAATTTTGAACTGAAGTGGGAAAAATATGTATAAAAGATATAATATAAAAAATTGTGACCATTTCCTGTTATTTCCTGGATTTTGATCAACAAATTAGCCCATTTTTATCTATTTTACTTATTTCTAATAAAATGTCACTAAAGCAGTATGAAACGATCTATAGAAAGCCTATATCTGGTTTGGATCATCCGGATATCTTTATTTTTATTTGTTTCTTTTTAGTATTAAATAATGATTTTTCTATACACTTTTAGAATGGGTATTAATTTAGTATTAAAAGGTTTCGCTTTGTATATGAGGAAATAAATAATGTACATACACACACTGAGTTAACATCTGCTTCATGTCCAAAAAACGTTTGTTTGGGTTTTTCTTCTCGTATGTCCCATAATCTACAGGTTTTGTCTACACTTCCTGTCACAAAACTGTTTCCATCAGGTGATAAACTAATAGATACTACATCTCCATTGTGAGCTATAAAGTCAGATGTTTTCTTTCCTGTTTCTAAATCCCACTTGCAGCTATAAAAAAGAAAAAGTCATTGAAAGAACAGAACAGAAATTATATTAGAAAAATATCTACATACCATTTCTTTATATTTTGCACTCCACAAATGTCGCCAAGGTATCAAAGCTTGCTTTTAAATTGAACACCTTGTACATTTTCACATAATCAATAGAACATAGAACGACAGAAAGATGTGATATATGATCAAAAGAGCATGATTATAAATCTAACATATTAGAATTTTTTTTCTTTTAACCATACCCTTTACTATAAGAGATAAACCTTATTCATAAGAAAGTTCTATTCGACTATGGAAAAAATATAGGTTTGCAATAGTTAATGTATTTTGACAGCTTTGTTGATAAAAATAATAGCGGTAGGTGGGGTGCAAAATATGTAGGTACCTACATACTGCAGGAGATACTGAAAATTGATATTTAATTTTAAATTTTACAAAATATATTTTGTATAATATGGTAATATGAGACAATTTAACCTCGAATTTAACAGCTTTTTAATGGATCTTAAGTCTATATATTTTAAAACTTATAAATTGTAATAGAATTAAAATAAACTTAGAAAAAATTAACATTCTCACATTTTCATGTCACCTGATCCTGTGATAATTGATTTATCACTTAGAAAACGACAAGAACTAAGAAATCCATCATATCCAGCTAGTTCTCTAACCATTTTAGCTATTCCATTAGCATCCTTATTATTTAAGTCGTAAATTGTACACATGTTGTCCATTCCACCACAAGCTAAAAATTAAGACGCAGCATATATTTTTTGGTGCAAATACTGAGTCGCATCTATTTGAATAAGTTTGAAAAGTAAAATGATAAGTATTTTTTAAATTGTGCCATATCTAAATATCAATTACTCTAAAGATCCCTGAAACACAGGGAGATGTTGAATAAACAATTGAAAATTTTTTTTAATTTTTATTTACTTCCATATTTTTAGAGGATTTGTTCTACTTCCTGTAAATATTATGTGAAAGTAACAGGTAGGTATGTATGGCATTTCTTAAAAATATTTGACAAAAACAACCTCTGATTCCTCCAACTTGCAGTTTGGCAAGATATGCAAAAAACTTCCTGTAAATATAGACAAAATATGTCTAAGGTCTTTTGAAGTCGAGTTTTGACTACAGTGTATATCAAAAAATAACTGGCGGTAATTTAACATAGGTACTGGTAGACTATTTTGATGGTGCACATACCGTAGAATAGGGTAAATTGTAACTGAGGTGTCAGTAGAAACAAAAATGATAAATGCAAAATAATTCCTGTGGTTTGCTTTATTTCCCTATAAGTAATAATTTGATAGGGAAATAACTAGAAAATAAATAAACACGGCTCATAAGCATGGTGAAAATAAGTATAGTGAATATTTTTAGAAATACGTTTTATTTCACTAATTACATTTTTGTCATCCATATTATCTAATATACATGTAATATGAAGATGGGAACAAAACTTAAAAGTTTATTCTAGCCATGAAATGACAGTTCAACCTCCTCCACGTATACTCATCAATACTTATATTCTTGAGATATAAGCTTTCAGTCTATTCCTTTTTCCCAATTTTTTTCTTTGAAAATTAGTTTTTTTATTCAGATCTTATACATATGTCCACTCTACTAAACAGATACGGGGTATTCCATTACAAAAAATCAAGTTTAGATAGTTCTCATTGGACCAAACTCGGTATTGAATTATCACCACCCTATATAAGATTCGGTAACTCTGAAGATATGGTAATGCAGCTTAGGTATTTAGCTCCTGCTCCGGCAAATATTGTTGCTTTATCTATCTAACTATAGAATTCACACGGCTTTAAAGTAGGTAGGGATAATTTTAAGAATGGGAATTGATGAAGTCACCTTAAGATGAGGCGCAGAATCCAAAAATTTACAGAAAATTTAAAATAACAAAGTGGACGCTAACTTCCGGTATAACCGGAAGCGATACAAGATCAAAATTATTATATTTGAAAAGAGCACACCCAAACAAATTTTTGACACCATGAACGCTCATTAAAAGTCGAAAGCACAGTTTGGGAAGTGATATAACATATTTAAACCGTTTTTTCTACCATTTTTAACAGAAAACTCAGATCTATCAAATTTTACTGTTTAAATTTGAAAATAGCAACATGTAAAAAATTTTACCCGAGCCCCCCCCCCCCATCTTGGACAACCATAACAAATTTTTCTAAGAACTTTTCACGTTGTTTTATTACAATGTATAATGATATTACATATCAAAATTTATAATGGTACATGTACCTATTTTAGCTATTTAAGAAATTTTTTTTTAATTTTATTAATGTATGTAATGAAGTGCTTATATCTCTTTTTGTCGGAAATGTAGCATTTTATCGAAATAACTAAAGAGTATACCTTTTTTGTAGAGGAAATGAGGGTCTATTATATGTTGGCATCTGAATTTGAAAATTTCGACAAGCAAAAAAATTGAGACGCCCCTGACTAAAATTTTTGAAAAATTTTATGATCTATTTCGACTTTTAATGAGCATTCACGATGTCAAAATTCATAATTTTCTTTGAACCCATTTCGGAAATAATTTTTAAAAAAATGAAAATTTTGATGCCCCATTTAGGGGGGCGTAGCTCCCTTAGGAAGCATTTCTCGACCCATATTTATATGAAAAAATATTCTTATTTTTGGCAATAGAATCAGATGGTAAATTATTATTGGACACTAATTATGAGACACCCTGTATATGTATATACAATCGTGTCGCGCTTTAATGTTATACAAGCCTGTAACTTTATTTTTTGACCAATTTCAAAATTGTGTCTAACTGTGATACTGCTGTTTTTATTAATGCAATACACGGCAGTTAGATAGAGGTCTTTTTACCTATTAAAAAAAAATTGAAATCGACAAAAGTACAGGCTTATATCACATTTAAGCGCGACACCCTGTACATATATACATATACATAATTTTTTTAGATTTACCAAATAATAATTTTAATAAATAATATTTGTTGTTTTTCTCATTCATTATTATTTTTTTTACACTAATAATAGGTACTTACATCATTCTGAAACTAAAAGAATGCTCTTTTCATTCAACATTATTCAACATAATATAAAAAAAGAAAATTAATGGTTCCATAGGCGAAATGTCGAAATAAAAATTTTCCACAGAATTTTGTTTGCATCATGTTGATATTTTTACTCACATGAATCATCAAAATATATTTTATTTTTATTATACATCCTCGCATATTAAATAGAAAAATTTAAAACTTTTTCAAAACATATACATTCACATTCATTTTTATCCAAATTCTATGATAGTAAATTTGATCCAAATATTAGAAACAACTCATTGTTAACCATAAATTAAATTAGAAACTTTCACCACAAAAAACGGAAACAAAGCTACTCACCTACTAGATTTCCTGAATTAGAATAGGCAACACTCATTACCCATGCTGAACGTAAAGGTATGATTTGCATTTTATTTCCAGTGTAAGTATCCCAAATAATAAGTTTGCCATCAAGTGAACCAGATACGCAATGACGGTTGTCCCCGCTGTAATGGACTGAATTAACTTTATTTAAATGTCCCTTCATCAATTTTCTTGTTACAAGTTTCACCTTTGGAGCTGGACTTACTCCATCACATACTCCTTGGAGGGTAGCATCTTCTAGTTTCTTTTGTTCCTCCTGGAAGATAGACCTAATGTAGATGAGTGTGATAAAATGTAATTCATAATTTAGTAAACAGTACTGAAATAATATGTAGGTACTAGATGCATGGTCGTCCAGGTAGGGGATATGCAGATAGACGTTTGTCCCCTTGGCTTTTGTATCCAACGCACAAACGTGCTTTCATATTAGGGATTAAAATTATGTTTTATTCGTTATTATCATGGAAATCATGCTTGGCGTGGAAGGCCTCTAAAAAAGCTCTCTCTCTCGCAATCAGTGACTTACCAATATGGAACACGTTTCCATTTAATTCTAAAAAAAGTCACGTAGTTACCGCCTAGCCGATATGGAAAGATGATAATATTAATTTTTTTTCTGGGGTGGGCACCGGGTTTTCTGGGGTGGACCCTACACACCCCTACCCCCATGCTTAATATTACTATTTCTGAGCAGTTTTTATGATTTTTATTTATCCTTGTCCGCTCTCGACAAATTATTATTTGGTCAAAATCCTGCTCATGACAATATATTCTCAAATATAAAAATAAATAGGTTTAGCGAATATTTGAATAGTGAAGACGTGTTTTCGAATGCATTCATATATATGTAGTAGCATTCACACGATATGGAATTTGTTTACGTTTGATAAATATTTGGCAAAAGAAACCGCATTATTTGGAGCCGGCTTTAAGGCCAGGACACACTTGTCATACACCACTCCGATCCGACTACGATCATACAGTCGGACGAGTGTCTGAGAGGGAAATGGTACTAGAGTTTGAACAGCGTAGTTCACACCTTTCCTGTACGTGTCCGCTCCCACTCATACTCGACTCCGTTCATGCATCCGATTGTGGTCCGATCGTGCAGTCTATTCGTTTAACAGCTGCAGGACGCGTGTTGTTTGGTATTTATATATTTTTGAGTTTTTGCAGTGTTTGTTTTTTTTACTAAAGAGAAAAATGTCGGCTATAAAACAGGAGGAGCTCATTGTAAAAGTGAGAAAGTATCCAGTACTGTATGACCAGACCAAAGAGCAGTACCGAAACTCCAACTACAAAGACATGATCTGGCAAAAAGTAGCGAAGGAATTAAATGTCAAAGATACAGTACAGACCGCACATATTTGGACTCGCATAAAAACATTATTTCTTTTTGTAAATATCGTTTTTTATTAGTCCGGTGGTAACGGACTTATTGCATACAAAGTAAACGCATAAACACAATATTCCATGGTATAAATATTTTTTGTTGCTTACTTTTTTCCATCCGTGACAGGTACGGAGTCGGTGTGCGTTGCTTACGGATTTTGTTTTAATTTTATAACAGAACTAAATAAAATAAATGTAAATTTAATAAGTCTGATTCTGATAGCGTGTAGTTTACGGTTGAATTTTTTGCTTTTATAAATACGAAGCTGTTTTTGTTAAAGTTCAAATATTGATGGCCTGGACTATAAAACCAAAATACTTACATGCAATAAACCCAGCAAAAATACTTATCTGTTGTTCATTTATTGTATTATTTTTTTTTAAATCCGGTACCTACCTATAGTAAATAGGTATAAAATGTCAAATGCAAATTAAAAAGAAGATAAACAATAAATGTAAGCTGTAATAAATCAGGACGGTAATAAGAACATCAAGCAAAATTAAATCATGAGGGCCTGACGTTCTTGCCACTCTACACTGCCCTCTGGGGAATTGAAGAAATGTTTAAACAGCTCCCTCAAATTAAATACTTAGCGATTTACCCCTCCGCGGCGACGAGGAAAGTTCTGAAGACGAGATCTCCTCTCTCGAGTCGTATCACCAGTACTGCCAGGTAGTTCACGTACATTGTAGCCTTCGGTATTTCGAATGAAGTTGTGCAAGATGCATGCTGCGAGTACAACGCTCGTTATGTTATCAGGATTTCCCTGGAGAAGTCTCATGAACATCCGAAATTTTTGCACCAAAATGCCAAACACATTTTCAGACATCCTTCTTGCCCTACTCAATCGGTAATTGAAAATTCTCTGCTCGTCAGTCAATTTCTTCCCCGGAAATGGTCTCATGATGTTGGTTATGAGAGGAAAAGCGTCATCGGTCACTATAACCATGGGAAGTTCAGTGTCTGTCCCTGGAAGACACTGTTTCTCTGGGATACTGAGTTTATTCCGGAATAGTTTTTTCCAAAATTGGAATTAGACAAAATACCACCATCTGAGTTTCTTCCGTAGCTTCCCTCGTCCACAAAAATGAAATTGTAACAAGCATCAACTAGAGCTAGAAAAACAATGGAGTATATGTTTTCTTGTAATTCCAGTACAGACTTCCCGACAATTTTGGGGCTTGTATTGTGACGTCCTTACCATCCATTGCACCAATGCAATTGGGAAACTGCCACCTTTCCCAAAATTCGGTTGCTATTTCATTCCACTTGTCCTCATCCGGTACAGGCATCACTTCGTTTAAAAGTACTTCAATTACTGCTCTGCTCGTCTGAAGAACAATGGAACAAACTGTACTTCTTCCCAACCTATAGCTAAAGGATATCGTCTTAACGGAATCTCCTGTACCAAGAAACCTGAAACAAATAATAACTGTTTATTGTTATAATCAACGTTCATATATGTATAAATACACAACTTTCATATGTATAAATATTTAAAAAAATTTTTTTGGTGTATATATAGAAAATATATTCGTGGCTTTTGTATATACAGGGTGTTTTCACTTTAAATTTGGAAAATGCAGGAATATATTCCCTATAAAAAATTAAGCTCTATAAAAATTTCTTATGAAAGCCTTTGTTTTGGAGATACAGGGCGTTGAAGCTTAAAAAAAAAACACTTTTTGAAATATCTCGGCTATCCACAAGTAGATTTGATTTAAACTTGGCACACACTATTCGTATTGGGGGTTTTCATAATTGACAGAACATTAGTCCTATCGCATTAGCTAGTGGTGTGCAAAGGGGGGATGCGTGGCCCCTTTCTCAAAAAAAAAGTACGCCATTGAGTTTTTCGAAGAATGTAAAGTAAATTTAAATACTATCATACAAAAGCAATCTAAAAGGTATCTTGGTATTTTTCGATAATACGCAGCGTTCATGAGATTCTTGGACTATTAAGATTTCAATGCATAAAAAAAAAAATTACNACCACTGAACCCTCGTCAATACCACCGACCACAACTTCAATCAATCGAGTTTCTGACGAAAAGAGGCCTTCATCTGCAGGACGTAAACGGAAGCTAAATACTGAAGTGAAATCTCAAGAGTCTGCATTATCTCAGCTAATGGCATACATTTTGACTGAGAAAAAAGCCGCTAATTCGACAAATACGTCAAATTCACGAAGTCAAAATTCTGAACCACATCCTGTTGACGCTTTTTTGACCGGAATCGTACCATCTCTCAAATCTTTCGATCCCGTTCGTCTACATGCTGCCAAAGGGAAGATTTTTAATGTAGTGCAAAAGTACGAATTGCACCAGCTCATGCGAATAGCCAACAAAGAACTACCATGACTTATATGTATCCGTCAACATCACCCCAAACGTCCTCTGCCTCAACGCCTGCGCACATCACATCATCAGAAGAAAATGAACCGTATGCAGATGTATATGGACCTCCACATTTTCCAAACCATGTTGCACTACCACCAAAAGCGGCCGCCATCACTAGAGAAGATGACGCCGACCTTTAATTTTTTAATTTGTAATAAAGTTTTCCGTTTGAAATACAATATATTCTACCTTTCGTGGTAAGAAATACATCGTTCCATTTTTTGTTTTCCTTTTTTAAAATTCTTGGAATTAAAAAAAAATAAAAGTTAAAGGGCTAGGTAAGTAAATTGGTATCTTACCTCAAAAAAACTGCCAAACGGTGTCTGAAGTGATTGCTTTTCTAAAATATGTGTCTTGCTTAGACAAAGTTTCTTGGAATTTAAGTTCCAACAGGTTAAACGCCGCCATCGACATTCTAAAATATTGGTAAAATTTTGTCTCGTCATCCAACAGATGAGGTAAATGTGTACAATACTCTCCTTCTGCGGATCTTATTTTCCAAGCAGGATGTACCCAAAATCTGCGTTTTCCTCTGTTCTCCATGAAATCTCTCCGATTTTCTTCATCTTCCTCTTCTAAATAAAGTGCCACCATGGCTAAATCATAGTTGCTAACATTTTTGAACATTTTGCGCACAGGACCTTCCGCGATTTTGTTTTAATCGAAACTGGCGAGAGTGGCGAATGTATCGACCCGGAGCTGGAAATCGGAAAGGACTCGGAAGCATGTAGGACATGTGTGCTCACCCCTGCCGATCCCGCACCGATCCGCTTCTTTGGGGCAACATCGGACCGGAGTCGGATCGGAGTGGTGTATGACAAGTGTGTCCCGGCCGCACATTGGACATAGAGTAAGCCAGTATAGCATAGTTCAGATGTTTCTGTAATCTGTAGAATTGATTCAAGTACCGCATATCTAACATAGGAAAGGCTTAGTACAAGGACATTTAAATAAAGGGGACTTATTTATTTACATTTCTAGATGAAGCCTGGTCTATTCACAGTCTAATTGTATCATTGTTGTCAGCTGTATAATTATACTGGAAATGTACTTAATATTTTTATCGCAATTTTCATCACAATTGTGAAAATTATTATTATAGGATAGTATTATTAAGTTATGCATACAATATTGTTAAATTCTGTACATATTAAACTATTTTTCATATTTGCCATGTTTGAAGACTTGGCAACTACGCAATAATTTGTAGCGTGTTCCTCGTTCGTTCTGCCGTGGTTGGCAGAATATGGCGTCTCTTGTTAGAAAATAGTTGTGATTTTAGTAAGTGAAACGTGATTAGTGTTTATACATGTATTTTGGATAAACTTTTAAGGTGTGAATATGGTTAGACAGTGCAGAATTTGTAAGAAATTGGATTATAAACATCCACATCAGCTATCCTTCCACAGGTAAGCGTGCTTGAAGGTGACTTTGGAATGTATATGCAACTGTGGCCATTGTCGTGCGTGTGGGTAACTTTTATTTGAATAACGGTAAAATTTTATAAAACTGACTTGGTATTTTTTT